CCATATTGATTGTTCCAAAATTCAGGTACTTTTAATGCAAAAAACTTGAGGGCAACATACCTTTTGCTATGTAGACTATGCTGTATTTACAATGTGGATGCCTTTCCATAGTTTTCTTTTTACTTTACCTTCTTTCCCAAATTAATGAAAGCATGTAGACATCCAAATTAACGAATAATCTAGACATTTTCATTCTTTAAGTTTATTCTGACTTTTTGTATATACTTGATGTAACTTTGTTCGAGCACATGATCATATAAAATTTACAAACTTTAGCACTTAAAAAAAAAAAAAGGAGGATAAAACCTTCCACACCGTAGTTGACTGAGTCATAAAATTTATCCATTAATAAATAAAAACTCTAAAAAGAATAATAACGGACAAAATCTGTGCCTAGAAAAACACAAAATATCCCAATTAAAAACCCTCATATTTGCATCTAAATTAGGAAGATGTGAATAAACACACACACACACACACACACACACACACACACACACACACACACACATATATATATATGGTTGTGAGATGCATATTGAAGGAAGAAACAGAGTACTAACCTGAAGGTCATTGAGAAACCCAATATAAAGGCAACAAAACAAAAAAGCTGAGAAACCCAAGTCTCAGTATTTGGAAGAGAGTCTGGAAACAAATGAAAACAATCAATCAGAGGGAGTGTTGGATTATTCTGTAGTGCTACCATTTGGGTAAAATAAATAGGTAAAAAGAAACTCAAATGTATACTCACTGTTCTTAGATCAGTGTGGAATCAGCTAATTCCATTTGCAATATCCGCCTAATGAGATCATCCTAACCCAGCTGGAAGCCTGGAACCCAACGTGGGATAATTCCTGTCAGTCTAGGTATAACGTTAGGCATTATGGAACAATGAACACGCGATCATAGTAAGATTCACTAAGAAGAGAGAGGAAAAAAGGTAAGTTTGGACGTCCATTACACTCAAACCATTACTCAAATTTGAGTAAAAAACTTAATTTGGTATAGCGGAACAAACCCAAATTTATACTTCTTTTCTTTTTAGAAATTTTTTTTCCTCTTCTTTCTTTCATCAACTGGAGACCACTGTCACTTTTATACAGTTAATTAGTTCACAATTCCTTGAAACAAATTCTCCTGAAATTACCATGTATGAGGTGTACAGGAAGAGTTACCTGAAATTACCGATGAACTCCAGGAGAATAGAAGCAGAAGCAGAGGCAGAGGAGTGAAGCTTCTGATTTTTACCGTTAGGATTTAAAGGGATTGAGTTTCCGTTCATTTGGGTTTAAAATTGAGTTTTCCTGATTTGACTAGGGTTTAGATAGAGGATTAGAGATTGATTTTACGGCTTTTTAACCCTAATTTTTTGAGTTTGATACGAATTTTTTATTTTTTTTTGGCTGGGAGTTTGATATGAATTTAGGTAGAGGATTGGAGACTGATTTTAGAGTCTCTTGTACTTAAACTTGGGTCTAAAAATGGAAAAAATTACTATTGTGGGATGCAAATAGTTATAGGTGAATGTCAATATTTGGAAGGAATATCACACTTTTTATCCAAAAAATTTAAAATTCTTTATTTTCAGAAATTAAACATTAATTTTCCCATAATAACACGTGAATTTGACGAAAATAATATTAAAAATTAGTGTGAAAGTCACGTTACAACTATTTAGAACATTTAATAGGATTAACGACACTATTTTTTAAAAAAATTATGCAATTTGAAGTGAAATTTAAGTTGATTGTGAATTCACCAACTCAAATTAGAGTATATGGACTAATTTTTATTTTTAGTTTAACCGTTAGGAGTGTTCGGACCAATTTATACGCACTTTAACTAAATCTCTCTCCAATTCAGTCAAAAGCAGATCATCTACGCTGAAATTAGGGTATTCGTAAAGGATAAATCTTTCATAACTCGATCTCAAAAATTATCAAAATTCATAACTCAATATATATGAGTTCACACATGCCGGGACTCAATTTTTGCACACACATCAAATAATAAACTACAGCTTTTTTGTTTCCTTCTCCCTACTAATAACAAGAATCAAACCTATGGGTTTCAAGTGCAAAGTTCTTTCATTCTCAAATGTACTTAATTTCTTCTTATTTCTCTTCCTGCCTATGTTAATATGCTTCTTATTTGGTTCTGTTGTCAGCCTTATAAGTGCAACAAGAAATGGGTTGTCGCATTGAACCCTCTTCCCCACTGTGGTTCTGGTTCTCAAGCTGATGGTGATGCATCCTGTGATATATGCAAAAGGAGACTCAATGATCCCACTCAATATCGCTATTGCTCTGTCGCTTGTAAGGTAAGGGAGGTGAGACGGACTTAACTACTCGTTGTCATTACTTTTTCATTCACTTCACTCGAAAGTAAACCAAATTTTTTTGGTTCATTTATGGTTAGACTTGAACCGAAACCAAAAACTTGAGCTCACATATTCAGAATAGTTTCGAGTTGCAATGCACTAAACCAATGTTTTTCAGGTGGAGGCACTTTCGAGTGATGCAGAAGAGGAAGGCAAAGAAGTTGGTGAGCCAGGGAAGCGAAAGCACAGAAGGAAGGGAGTACCTCAGAGGGCTGCTTTGTTCTAGAACTCAAATGTGCTTATTCATCATTTATGTTCTAAAGCTTGGAACTAGAAGCATTGCATTTTCATGCCTCTGATTTCAAAACTAAGCTATAACTATGGCTCTATGTTTTTTTTTGTGTGTGTGTTTGGATATAGCTCCGAGGGACAAAAGTTCAATAATGTGTTAACTTTAGATGGTTGTTTTTCTAGTAATTTACATCTATGCACTAGTGATTATATGAAATTAAGTTTTATCGTCAAGGTCCCGATACCAAGTATGAAACCCACAATACCTTTACATACATACAGTCACAAATTGGGTGATAGTCTTGTTGTTGGCCTACGTGTGATAAATGATTGTTAACTGCATATTTCTAACCTTGATTTGTGGGTTGAATGTTCATGAAAGACAATCGTGGTGGGTTGATCACATACACAATTTTGGATAGACTAATATTCTCAAGATCAACACCCCAACCCAAGTTGTGAGTTTCTGGCTTGACCCCTTTATGGGCTTCCAATGAAACTGAGAGTGCCATGAATCTGCCATTGCTACCTTTGTCAAGGGATGTCAACCCCTATGCAAACTAATCATCTTGCTAAAGAACTTTGAGCTCAGTGGTTATCTTCTTTATCAGATTGCTATTGGGGCCAAAAATTGGAGTGGCTTTTGCTTGCAAGATGACTTTCAAAAAAGCACCAGTGACAAATTTCAGATGGTTTATTTTTCAGTGGTAAGCATCAGTAAAGACTAGTGTGCCCTATTGTGGCAAAAAACATCTTCAATTCATTCCCATATACCCATGTTCAAATGCTTTTAAAAAATATATATATACTTATGATCAATCAAAATGTGAAGGCACACCATTAAGTTAACTATTTTTCAATGAACTAAGTCTAACCTAGTTGGCTACTCTTGATTCTCTCAAGATTCGGTCAACAAAGAGAAAAAAGGGTCAATTCTTGTGAAAGGCAAGTCTTGATTAAGCATATTCTCCTTTTTGAGAGTTCTATTGTGCTCTCTTTCATTTTTTTTTTCCTTTTTCATCCTATATAGATATTTTATCTTACTAGTTGATGCAAAAGTGCATTGCACGTTAAAAATTAAAAAATTTTAAATTGTAATTTTTTTTATCGATGTTACGGCTATAAAAATAATATGTAGCTATTTTCAACCCATTTATTGATAATTTATGTGTGTAGTGGAGGTCAAAAAAATAAAAATAAAAAATTGTGTGTAGTGGAGGTATATATTTAATTATCAAGACTCAAAATAATTAGCACGAATAAATAATGATGCATACACAAAAAAAATACTTCATATTTGAACGGGTCCAAACCGCTTGAATTTGACTAAGGTGAAGACACAAAAACATTAGTTGGTTTACCATCACATTAGCATTATCATAAGGAAAATACCATAACCAGCAAAAAAAAAACAAAGGAAAATGCCATTTTTATCTAATTTGAGGACCTAAATTTAGATAGCTAGCTATTGGATTAAAGGTGGGCTTTATTTAACATTGAAACTCACAACTAATCCAATAGTTGTATCAAAGAAGATCACTGATTAAGTTCACGAATTAAGTGTCTATAGCATTGCTCTTATAATAAATAATAGTGTGAAAATATATGTTTTGTTTTACTTCCTGTTGACAAAAACAAACCATTTCAAAAAAATTAAGGCTCCAAATAACCCAAGTACACCCATATCATCAACTGAATGATCAAGCCAGATTAGCCCCAAATGATAAATAAGATGGTCAGAAGTATAGGGGTCCTAAGGTTCTAGGTGTGAGGTCAAAAATGCATAAGCATAATGTCTTGCTCCTAACACATAACTAAACGTACACACCAAAACAGGTCAAAATCTGAAAGAAACTACTAGTAAAGATTAACTTGATTTTGTGTCCAGCACTAATAGAAAATCAATGCTTTGTATGTTTCATTCCACCAAGAAAACTCCTAAACCAGTAACTTGAAACGGCTAATACAATATTTAATACATAAAAATAATTAGTGGCATAGTCTCTCATACACACTACAAACACAATTGTTTTTTTTTTTGTGATCAGGAGCATTTTTAGCATAAAAGTTCATGCAATAAAGATAGCAATTGTCTCGTTCAAGTTGTTAATGATGGTAAAGTTAAGCACAACACATGAAGTTAAAAGGAATATATCACATAAATTGACAGCTGTGAGATTGAATCCATCGCGGACATGACATAATGTTCTTCTTAACAATGGAACTTGTGTCCTATCCTGCAAAATAACAGTTATTCCAATAAATTTAGCATTACCTTTTTTCACATTTTTGTGTGTGTGTGTGTGTGTAAGAGAGAGAGCGAGCAAAAGTACATTATGTAAAAAGCCTTTCAAGCTTTCATTTAAATTCTTTGAAAAGTCATACTTAGAACACTGACCCCAGCTTAACAACTCTTACCAAACTCCACCAACAATATCTTATCTTCTTCCAACAACTCAACCTCTAATACTTTGTGGAATATCCCAATAGGGGTGCGTCTCTTTAGGTGATCGTTGGTTGTTCATGGGCTTTGCAAGAGAAATCAACTGAGAGGTTCGGCCGCTTTCAAGACAGTGAGCCTGATATTGACATTTTAGCGGAGAAGAAGTGGGGAAAGTGTATGAGGTGAAGGCCTTTTAAGAGAGACCTATGACTTTCCTGCAAAGAAACTACTCTTAAATGATAAGACTATTAAATAACCACAAACAACTGGTGTTATTCTTTAGGGAAGCTGGAAAGTCTGTTAAATGGAAATACCATTAAAAACCCACAAACTGTAATTATATCTTGGAAGAAGAAAAGATGATACCTCAAAAGAGACCTATTAAATTCTTCGGTAGTTAGATCTTGACTTGTTCAATTGAATGGGATATAATGGACCATAAAAAATTTGTTAAGGTTAAAATAGGTAATCAAAAATTTTCTGAATAGCTGCCTTTTAATAGTAGTAGTATATAGTATATATATAGTATAAATATGGATATAGAAGTTATAGTTGAGTTGTTATAAGTTATAATAGTTGATTATTCATTCAAATAGCAATCTATTGGACCCAAAAAAAAAACCATATTATCTGAGAATATCCTCATAACACATAACGGGAAAGACATGGTTTGTACAGACTTGTTCATAGGATAACTTACCTGAAAATTACAATCATGTATAGATAGATCATCAAAGGGATCGACTAAGTTTCTTAACTACATTGTGTGGCATGACATGAAGCTATTACATAGTATAAGTATGTGAAATTCAGAGTTAGTCCAATGGATATTGGTAGTCAGAAATTTATCCTCTAATCTTGACTCTTGACGTACGATAATTTTCATATTTTGGGAAAAAATAAAATCACGCGCACAAATACAAACACCAGCAGCCTTTTACACTCGATTAATGGGTTGAGTTTGTCTACCACTACCTCTCTTTTTTTTAGTTCAATAGTCAGGAATATTCAAACCAGCTTACATATAAAACGACTAATACTCATCTCGTTCTAGTCAAAAGCAGATCATTTATGCTGGAACTAGGGTATTCATAAGAGATAAATCCTTCATGATCTTACTTTAAAGAGTTGTCAAGATTCCAACTCGGGACGTCTGAATTTATAGTTCGTCCTAATAACTATTTGAATTATCCCTTGAAATTTTCGTCGGGACTAGTATATTTGGTACACTAGATTTACTCTTTTAATCGACGTAAAACGGCATCCACTTGTGTAAAGCAAAAAAATGGCATATTATTTGATTAAATTGAGTGGTTATTTGACAAAATTGAGTTCAAATTCAAATTACCTTGTTAAAATTCAGCTTAATTGGGTTACTAGGATTGGATCAAATTAAATTTTTTATTTTAATGATTTGGATGTGGATTATAAAAGTGAAACCACTCCCATATTGGATAAGATTTTCACAAGTTAAAATCGGCACGCTTACGACACTTTAACATGACCGCAATTCCTTGTCACTTGAGGGAGTCACTGTAGAACGACTAGTAGTTCCATTGTGCACATAGGACGTCAGCTTAAGACGGCTTGACATTTGATACAAACATTGAAGAATCAGCTTCACTTTGTAACCACGCAATGGACCATTGCATGTCCTCCTGCTACTTCTTCACAACTTCATCCTCCCCTATATATAGTTATACTTGTCTCCTCACCACTTCAGCAAGCAAATAGCCATGATTCCACTACAGCAAGTTGTGGCTACATGTTCATCAATTCCCCTGTTGGGCAGTGTTCTCAGCAATCTCTTTCTTCTCATTTCCTCAAATCGTATCGAGTCTGGTGTGAGCTCCGAAGATGAGACCATGACGAAAGACAAAGAGAGTGATAGAGGAAGTGATGGCAACGCAGCAGCTCAAAAGCATTTCCCACAAGTTCAACCCTACCTAGGAGCATAAAAGTAGCACAAAAAAAAAAAGGTTTAAGTACATGAGACTCCCGCTATTGCAAGAGGCTAGTGGCATGATTAAGTTTTGGAGGTGCCTTGTAGCTTCCAACCTGTGCTTCAACTGCTATATATCTACAGCAGTTTCTAGTCTAAGCCTCTGCCCTATTTCCTTTTTACTCTTGTTTCATTCCCTTGTCATGGCTACTATATATGCTGAAATGTTGCTGGCGATCTCAAGGGCTTTCTGTGTGTTTGCTAATTCATAGAAACCTCTGTTACCATGCAAGAACTACTCTTTAATACGAATAATGGCTTTTCAACAACTTTATACGTCACACCCTTTTGAATCCATTGTTTAGAGGTGAAACTGAATTGTGAAGGCTTCAATAGCTTCGAACAATATACGTGTAATACCATTCCCAAGACTACTTAGACGTTACTCATATCATATCGGATTCCCCTAATTGACGACATGGTGATAATTCTAGTAAAATGCTTGTCATTTTACCGATTATCTGGGAGCTAAAAATTTTTTAAAAAAATTAGGGCAAACTTCACTTTACCTCTATGTGATTTACCTGTTTTCCACATCACCTCCCTATCATTTAAAAATAGCCACATAACGCTCACCTAGTTAGTGGACTCCTAACTCGGTTAACTTGGTGGCTAGATTTCAGCCTTGATTTGTGGGCTGAAAGACAATCGTGGTGGGTTGATCACATGCACAATTTCGGATTGACCAATATTCTCAACATCAAACCACCCCACCCCAACACAAGTTCTAAGTTTCTGGCTTGACTCTTTTCTGTGCTTCCAAAGAAACTGAGGGTGCCGTGAATCTTCCATTGCTACCTTTGTTAAGGGATGTCAAGCCCTACACAAACTTATCATCTTGCTAAAGAAATTTGAGCTCAGTGGGTGTCTTCTTTATATCAGATGGCTATTGGGGCCAAAAATTGGAGTGGCTTTTGCTTGCAAGATGACTTTTAAGAAAACATCAGTGACAAATTTCAGATGGTTTATTTTTCAGTGGTAAGCATAAGTGAAGATCAATGTTCCCTGTTGTGGCAAAAAACATCCTCAATTCATTCCCATATACACGGTTAACTCTTTTCAATCAACTGAGTCTAACTTAGTTGGTCACCCTTGATTCTATCAAGATTCTGTCAACTACGAGGACAAATGATCAATTTTTGTCAAAGGCAAGTCTTGATTAAGCATGTTCTCCTTTTTCAGAGTTTTATTGTGCTCTCTTTTGATTTTTTTTTCATCGTATATGAATATTTTCTCCTATGTTGTAGTTGAATTGTTCTAAGTTGTAATAGTTGATTATTCATTTAGACAATGATTTACCGATACATGAGCCAACAAAAAAAAAACCCTATATCAAGTGGGATATCCTCTTAACAGATGATGAGGAAAGGCGTGATTTGTACAGGCTTGTTCATAGGGTAACTCAGCTGATTATTACAATCATTTATAGATCATCGAATGGATCAGCTAGGTTCCTTAACTATATTGTGTGGCATGACATGAAGCTATTACATCTTAGAAGTATATGAAATTTATTGTCAGTCTAATAAATATAGATATCCAAAATTTCACCCTGAAATCTTGACGTATACATACGACAGAATGTGGTCTATCAGACTAATCAGATGTAGACAAGAGGTGCGTTCTATCAATAACCGCATAAATAATGGTGAATCAAGGCTCGCTCGGTCTCCTAAATTCTCTCATGTAGATAGGAGTCTTGTACACTAGACATATTTTTTTAATCAATGTAAATCAACACCCACTTACGTAAAGCAAACAATTGACTCATTATTTGATTAAATTGTGTGGTTATTTTATACAATCGAGTTAAAATTCAAATGTAATTGTTAAAAGTTAGCTTAAGTGAGCTAACAAGATTAGATCAGATTGAATTTTTTATTTTTAATGATTTGAATATGGACCATAAAAGTGAAACAATTCTTGTATTGATTAAGATTTAGACGAGTTAAAATTCAATCTATTGACACATTTATGACGCCTTAACATGATTGCAATTTCTTGTCTTGTGGGGTCACTATTGAACGACTAGTAGTTCCATTATGCACATGCTTGACATTTTGACACAAACATTGAAAAATCAACTTCGCTTGGTAACCACGCAATGGACCATTGATATATACAGGTCCTCCTGCTGCTACTTAGCAACTTCATCCTCCTCACCACTTGAGCAAGCAAATAGCTATGATTCCACTACAGCAAGTTTTGGCTACATGTTCATCAATTCCCCTGTTGGGCAGTGTTCTTAGCAAACTCTTTCTTCTCGTTTCCTCGAATCGTATCGACTCTAGTGTGAGCTCTGAAAACAAGACCATGACAAAAGACAAAGAGAGTGATAGAGGAAGTGATGGCAACGCAGCAGCCCAAAAGCATTTTCGACAAGTTCAACACCTACGAGGAGCCTAAAAGTAGCAGAAAAAATAATGGTTAAATGCACGAGACACCCGATTACAAGAGACTAATATCATGATTATGTTTTGAAGTTGGCTTGTAGCTTCCAACTTGTGATTCAACTGCAATCTACAGCAATTTCCAGTCTAAGCCTCTGTCCTATTTCCTATTCACTCTTCGTTTCATTCCCTGTTCATGGCTACTATATATGGTGAAATAATGTTGCTAGTGATCTCAAGGGTTTTCTGTGTTTGTTTCAACATGAAATCTCGTTATGGACTCATGAAGCTATTATAGTTCGTAGAATCTAATTCCCTATATATTTTTCCATTCTTGTTTCATCTACCAAAAATTCCTAAAACCCTTTGTTACCATGCAATAACTAGTCTTCAAAGATGAAAAATGTTTTTTTTTAAACAATTTTATGCATCACACCCTTTTGAATCCATTGTTTAGAGGTGAAACTGAAGGAGCTAATGCCTTTTTTTTCCTCTTTGGTGTCTGAAACCTTCTGAGCCTCAAAACTTAAAGCAAGGCTACCCGCTGAATGATTTTGTCCAAATGATTCACTGAAATATAAACAATCAAACAAAGTTGAAGCTAATTTCAACAACTTGGTTCGAGATGTAGATCACAAACGCAAGCTTGAATTAATCCAAAGAAACAGCCAACAAATCGCCAAATAAAAAGAGATTGCAAACAGAGCAATTATATATGTGGACCATATGTTTCATTGGAGCTATGAATGCATCGACAAAACACGTGCATCATTTTATTTATCTTCAACTGAACACAAGGATGATACAAAGGCCATGGTACAGGTATAAAATTTTACTGATCGCATCATTGCTAATGTGTTTCACTGATCAAGTACAATTTCTGACCATCACTGATCATATCCACATCAAGAATTTTACCAGCATCTTCTGATAATATACAAGAACCAGCTAATATGTTTAACTGCTCTGCTGCCGTTTTAAGGAGCTCTCCAATTGTGTGTGGAACCCACAACACGATTCCATTTCTTCTATTTTCCTTGGGGTCCCATGGGTGGAATGGGAACACTGTGCATTTCCTCAGGTGCATTTTATCTAGTATCAGAAAACAGCTCCTATTGTTAACCGGCTAGCAGTAGTGGGCGAAGTAAGCTAAAGAAAACCTTTGAATTTAAAAGATATACGCCGATACATTTGTGTGAGAAGCCAGCTTTTCCTTTATTTGCAGTCAAACAAAATAATTCATGTAATATCGGTTTCTTTCGGCATAATGAGCATTGAACATCATGTTGTGACAATACCTGTGATTTCTTGGGAACAGTCAGGAAATTGAAACAATTGAGTAGATTTTGCTTCTTCCAATAGTTTGATCATATTCTTGTTTCCACACATTCTCCATTCATCAAGTGGGGTGTTTCCCCATCTGCAAATCACAAATGGCCCAACAATATTTTAGTTTCGGGCATAACTTATGAGTTTAAGAGCATACATATAACAAGCTGTGCCTTTCCGTTATCAATAGTTATGAACTTTTAATGCTGTTAGACTAACCACGAAACTCAAGAAAGACTCGTGATCTGCTATGTTCTGAAGAATCAAACTTGAATATAGTAAAAGCTAGTTGATTCACTGAGGATGACTGGCACAATAAGCTAATGACCATCTTGAGCTTAAAAATTGAATAGCAGAACCTGAACAGAGATCAAAAAGAGTAGAATCTAACTCAAGACAAACAAGCCAAGCCCAAGGTTCATTTTTTAAGTTTGTTAGCATTGCAAGCCAAGGTTGTGCAGTGCACCACCCAGTTTGACTCTGATTGTTCACAACTCCCTGTTATACATGCTTACACTGAGTGAGAGACTTCCAACCTCATCCTTCCCCCCCCCCCCCCTTCTTTTTTTGTGTTGACAATAAGACAAAGAACAATCGCAGATACTACGACTGAGAAAAATAATGATGAGACAAGAATAAAATACAAGATCAGGTTGGGCAACACTTCGGCAAAGTGCAACATGTCCTGACAAAATGTTGATTGCCAACCTGCAAATAGTGGGTGATTAGCAGCTAGGTTCAAAATTCACACACCTATGGTGATTTATGAATTTCCAGAGAGATTCATATTTTTAATTATGACTTAATTGGCATGGTCCTTTAAAATTGTATGAAGGTAAAGAAAGTTTACTTCCCCCAATGGTTGGAAAAGAAACAGTTTTGAATCGAACAGTTGTGAATCCAAGGCTTTGTAAAGAGCGCTGCATGTGCAGTCTGGTGAATTTTTTCTCCCCAAATGAGTTTGTATCGTTTTTTTTCCCTCTCTCTCTTTCTACCATCCCTTGAACCCCTGACCTTGGTCTAGAATTTTAGATCAACAGCACCAAGGCACAAGGAGGGCCTGTGTATTTGTATTGTCCAATTGTTGATCGTACTCTGAAAAGTGCGATATTACAAGGTCTAAACAGCTGAGGACAGGAAAAATGAAAGAATTATTGCACAAAGGGGGCAAATAGTAGGAAAAATATAGAAACTGGATTACATATATAGATAGCGTATGCTATTCCTATATCAATTGTTGGACATTTCTTTGTGTACAACATATAAAATGACTAAATCCCCTTTGAGAACAAAAAAAATTTCCATGTTCGTTTGGAGTCCATGCTTTGGTAAAATAGCAAACAACACCAGATTAAATTCTGCGAAAATATATCTTGGCTACAAGAGGAAAAGGATAAAAGGGTCATTACCCAGTTTGTTTCCCATGGGTGCTGAGAGGGATTGCCTGGGTACAAACCTAACTTTTGACATCATTTGCACAGACTGGTTGCCCTCTGATTGAACGCAACCAGAGACTTAAAAAAAAAGGGGGGCAAATATTGATTTTCTCCATATATCAAGTAATTGAACCAACATATCACTCGAGGTTACATTTCCTGACAATGTAAGGCTCCAAAAGGCACACTTCAACATATTGGAAAAACAATAGAGCATGCAGAAAGCAACAGAAATGACTTGTAAACATTCTTTTCACAACACCAAGAGGGTATTTAATGGTACCTGTCCTTTGAGAAAACACTAGCCCCGGCATCCAAAAGCAACTTTGCCATTAGATAGAATCCTTGGGAGGCAGCTACATGAAGTGGAGTTCGGTGGTCATAATCTTTGGAGTTTGGATCAATGCCATTGGACAAAACCCTTCTGAGTAAATCTGAATCCCCCCTTGCAACGACTGTGCACAAGAAACCACCAGCATCATCAATCTTCAACACGGCTCCTTGTTTGACAAGCAAGGAAGCAACTTCATCGTGTCCACTCTTGATGGCTTCGAGTAAGGGTGTGTTTCCGAAATTATCTGTGAAACACAAAAAACTAGCCACATGAATTCATTTAAGATGGTAGTTGCAGAATAAAGCTAAAGAGCCTCAAGGAAAAAAGTAATCATGTAGGATGGATACCTGAAGTGTTGATGTCTACCTCTTCCCGAATGAGGAAAAGGGTGATATCTTCATATCCTTTTGATGCAGCAAGATGCTGTTGAAAACAGAAGCTCCCTTCAGGTCAATTGGTTATTTTGTTCTTTTAAACATGTCATATATTTTCCTAGTGAAGTAAGAGAACAGAAATGATTTCATCAAAGAGAAGGCAACCGCATTTTTCTTGCTATTTATGTAAGTTGGCAACAGAGTTTTATAGTTCATGAAAGATCCAAAAAAGGGAAAAAGAAAAAGAAAGACCCCAAAAGAAATACTCAGAGTACAAAGAAGAAAAGTATGTTTCTGAATGCTTTTGTGATTTTGGAATACTATAAGCGAGCAGACTTGGTGGTGGAAGGTTAATCAACTCCTAGAGTTGTCAATCCATGAAGACAAACTTACACCGTAATATGAAAAGAACGAGTATTTGTGTATCCTAGTTTGTCTCCTCTTGCTCTTTCAACAAGAGTGGAAACAGCCACAAACATGTGGATGAAAATTATGCTGCGAGCCAGATTTAATTTGACTCACAATTGTTCACTTCCCAGAAGTGCTTATGAATTTTTTCCTTGATTAGGCACTTTGGACTCCTGGAAAAAGAGAACAATAGGCAAACTTTCAGAGGGTTTGGTTGAGTGACATCCTAATAACCCTCATTGTTTATCTGATAAGGTCCTTTTAATAGGTATGTGATCTATTTAATGTGAGGGCATAATCATCAGTGCATTGACTTATAATTTGAACAACGTAATTTTGTTAAATGCTCCGCCTGCAAAAGCACTGCCACGCTCAACCAACCCATACAGAAAAGTATGCATGATACCTCCACCTCATTACTATGGTTTATGAGTGGCATAGATGGCAGGTGCTAAACATCAGGTGCCCAGTTCCCATCTCGGTTATATACCGAAGAGATATGCAGACAAAGAAAGTACCTGTGGCGAGGCACAAAGCAAGATACCTTTTGAGAACGGCAGGCACTAGATATGTTACTTCTTTTTTAAAATTGGACAGTCCGTTGTTCTACTGGTTCCTAATCTCCGAAATGTACTGATACATTTTATCACAAGCATCTAAGAACATTACGGAAGACACTGCAATGCTCTCTATTCCAGATCAAACTGAAGAAGGAAAGGCACGGATATAAGTAAATCAGGTGAGTCTGGAGTAGGGATCCTTTTTTTCATCTAAATGCTAATGCTGAATCCAGATAGAAATGGATATCATACCCACACATCCGCAACTTTACTGAATTAAAGAAAGGCTCATTGTGATTCTTCTTGATAATGGACCAGGTAGAATAAATGGTTAATCCATAAGATAAACTTACAAACCTTCATTAAATGATGACTACAAATTCAAATTGGGCCACAAACAAGATATGCATGCACAGGTTTAGCTATCTTGAAAATAAGAAACAGATATTGGTTTATGTTCTTAGGAAAAAGAAGTCTAAACAAATTCAGGCTTTATCGACAACATAGCAATGCTCCTTCTGATGCAAATTAATCATCCCGTAGACAAAATTGGAAAAAGTAAAACTAAAACTACAAAGCTGAAATACTCATTAGCTAAATCATACCAGTGGTGATCTTCCATCATAATCTTTCTTGTTTGGATCCACTCCACCTCGGATCAAACTTTTTAGCTGATAAAGATCACCATTATAAGCTGCACTATTCACCCTCAGAGCAAGTTCAGCCTCTTGTTTTCCAATATGAAATGTGACATCAGATTCAAGATGCTTTATTCGGAGATTGGATTCCTTTCCCTGCCAGCTTAAGTTAGATCAGTTTTCTGACAACACATACGCAAAGAAAACACTAAAAACTATTAAAGACTTGTGCTCATTTTAGTAATATATTTCAAAGCATGTCTACATTCGGCTGTCAGTGAAAACAATATGTGGGAAACGACATCAGTATAAGCAATGAACATATTGCAACAGCTAAATTACCTCTAGTAGGTTGTTTAATACTTTTCTCCCATCATGAAAATATATTTCAAGGATATTAGAAAAAGATTGCCTATCAAGCCGCAGAAGTCTACATAGCTCGCAAACTCGAACTGTATATGGCTGAGGTATGTTGCAAAGAATAGAAACTTCTCCAAATAAGCTGTCAGGTTCTAGAAGTGAAACTGTCTCTTCTGATCCATCCTCCCCTATTCCAACTTCCTCCTGTATAGAAATAGTTAGAGTCGGTCTTATAAAATGAAGAATGAAAAAATCTAGATCCCAAGAGGACCACTCAAGGAAATTTAATAGGTAAAGACATCCATGATATCTGCAAAAATGTCTTAAGGAAAAGTCAGCAGAAGTGTTCAGGATTGTATGTCCCTTTTTCAACCCTGTCTGCACAAAGCAAAATTGTCACAATTCCTTGAATGATTCAGCGACTTTCAGGAAGGGGTCTAGGGCAAAGAGCAAAGCACAGGCTGGAGAGATTTAAAACTTGTATGGTATACGTTACTGATTTCCTCTTGGGAATTGTGAGAACACAAATGATGGGGTTAAAATGGTCAATGACAATCAAGTTGTTAACAATAACATCAACCCATGTACGTGTGAATTAAAAATGCAAAAACCATATCTCAAACAAAAATAAACAGGGAACGGGTAAGAAAAGAATGATGTGATACATAACTATTAGTGGCAGTAATACAGCGTAGAAAATTGTACCAGAACCCCATGACAGACAAAATAAAGTTGATCCACCACATTTCCCTGTTCCATTATTACTTCTCCTGGAAGAAAAAACTCCTCATGGACTCTAATTACCTGCAAGAACAATAGAATTCTTGAGAAAACTTCATCAAATCTGTAATAAAGGCAATCCTATCTTTTCAGTGTTACATACATTGCCATGTTTAACAACATTCAGCGTATCAATATAAGTTCAAATGAGGCATATCTCAAATCCAGAGACTTCCATTAGAACTTAGTAACTTAGTAATCAAAACACCCTGACTCCAACCACCTAGGCATTAAAGAAAAAAATTCTTCCATCAAGGTAAAGTGATTTTTGCATTTGCATGTCAATGGTACACAGCACCGATTTGACTGCAGTTTTGTGAAGGTTGTAGTCACAAAAACAAACAACAACAAAAAGAAAGGATGAGAAGGCACAAAGAAAAAAGGGATTTTAGTTAACTACGCTTCAGTGAAGATTAAGAACTCCAACAGTCGGAAGAGAATATTTACTCTGCATAAAACGTTTTCTCCGCGACTAACCATAAGCTCATGAACCTTGCTGCTGCAGAAAGCATTCAAATTTCAAACAGATAAAAATCACATGCATTCTTCGATGAAACAAGTATGATGTGGGTTTACCTGGAGCTCAAGAATAGGAAAGAAGACAAAGAAGTTGAAACGCTACATATGTGACTGCAACCATATGATCCGTTTGTGCAGTAATTATCGTTATCATAGGCTTCTAGATATAGGACGCTAAGGATATAATCTAGCAAAGGGAACATCACCTATCATCTTTGGAGCATCTCTACAGTTAACTACCATCATACAGAACCACCAAAACAAACAAAAATACCATCATACAGCTTAACTATGTTCTGCTCCTTTCCATGCCTGCTCCTAGTATGACAACTTATCAATTATCATTTGTTCAATACTAAGCTGTGGATCTCCTCTTTGACTGATTATATATCAAACTAATATTGAAAATCAGTAACCTCTCACTTATCTCAGGGCCAAAAAAATTCTTTTCTGGAAAAATTTTTCAGGTCTCTATAATTTTTCGTACTTCTTTAATGAGCGCAACGAGTAGTTCCATGAAAGATTGATAGTTCTAGCACACAAGAACAAAAAAATATTTTAGGTTCTCATATCCCCCTGGATCACTAGGCTTTGCCCTTCACACCTTCAAGCTTCACCAACCATTGACAACACAATAACAAAAATGGCCAACAAAGCAAGGAGAAAAAATGTATGCACATAATTCAAACCTAATGCTTTGTGCAAATGATGCCAAAGGTTGGTCGTATACCCAGTCTACCCCTCCCAGAGCCCCATTGATGTGGACTTCACCAGATTTCATGATGATTGAGGCTCGGCATTACAATCACCACTTCTAGGTCATTACGAGTGCAAAAGTCACAACTCACATCGTAGTACCTCAGTATTCTTGATTTTTGAATTCCTACAAAGAAGGACAACTCAACCACTTTCAGGGGAAAAATAACTCTTTGAGGCCTACATAAACACATTGAAATCGCATATATATGCCAAGTCGTTCAATATCTAGTTAGCCATCCCACTTACTGGGATTTTAGCTCCAACACCAAGTCAAAAGGTTCCAAGTATGTATGAAATCCCAGATACACTCATTAAAAGTACCAAACAGTAGAAGGGGGACAAGCCACCCTGTAACAGAATGATAATGTCAGCCATACCAAAGTTAATGTTAGTAGTAGTTTATGATATCCTGTCATTTCAATATAATCTTACTAAACCATCATCCTCGTTTATGACAGAGGGGAAAGGCAAGAGAAGGAAAGTAAAAAGAACAATGAGATGCAAGAAGAGGATCAGAATATGTATCACTTCAGAAAACCGAGGACATTTTTTGATGGGCTGAATTCTCTGTTTCATGCAGAATATGTATCACCTCAATAAAAACGGTAATCTCTTCGACATGTGGCCTGTAAGTAATAAGAGGAAAACAAACCAAAAAAATGACTTACAATTTGATTTACAAATTCTGAGGAGCATCCCCTGAAAAGAGGAACATTTTCAATATATGACTTGTATAAATTTTGGGCGACCTGCAAAAATGAATACACACTTCATTGCACTACCAAATATAGAACTTACACTTACATGCACAAAACAATTCTACACGAGTTAGAAATAATGCAAGGTAAGTAGAGGAGATTTACAGTAGACACTGGTCCCGACAACTAGGTAATGTTCAAATCAAATAGTTGTATTGATGACCCTCGATATCATCCAATTATCAACTTTCTATTTCTTTTTTTTTTAATCAGAAGAAAAGACTTTAATGCCAAAGAGTTCATGTTAATCATTTTGTATTATCAAGAATAACATACTTAAAACTAATCACTAATTTCTAGACAACTTCAGAAAAGAAAATATTCTGTGAGGGTACATTTTGCCCCTATATTCAATATGATTTGTCATGCCTAAAAATATTCCACAGAGCATTGATCCTTTATGTGAAAAAAAAAAATTGATCCTTGTAAGTGGAATTTAATAAGAGAAAATGGTTGGCTATGGAATTAGGTCTACTGAATTCACATATAGCAAAGTGGAGCCATGTTCCACAAATGACTTGACAATAAGAAGCATATCAGAAAAGAGAACTCAATTGGCTTTAAGTAAGTTATATGCATCCCTTTTCTTCTTTTTCACCTTGGCACGAATCGAGATGGGGATATCCTGAAGAACAGCAGCTTCAGTGTAACTGCTTTCGTATTGTAGCCGCAAGTGACCTTTGATTTGGTTACGGACATCCCTCCCAAGTCTATTTCTGTTCATATATTTGATAAGGTCTGTCATTTTATCCCTATATCTTTCTGTCTTTGATCCTTTCACAATTAGTGCGGTCATATTACCAATCAAATAAGCACCGAGAATCATGTCAAAAGAGACATAAAACATTATGAATATCATTTCTCTGAGATTGACCGCATGTATTTCCCCATAACCTGTATGAAAAGAAAACACTCATTTAGCATAATGGAAGACTCCATTATGATGATAAAAATATAAAGTTAGTTGGACTGTGTAGAAAAAGACTTAAATATATTACGCCAGCGAATAAAAGCAAAAGGATCACATTAACGTTATTATATCCCGCTGAAGAACTTGTGCAAAAGGTATGCAAGATGACTCTGTATTTCTATCTAATTATTGCATTCATGATGACAAAGAGCAGTTTGTACTTCATATTATTATCAATTAACCCCCCCCCCAACCAAGTTATCCTTTGCGAAGACATTTTTTCACATGAAACTATGTAAAATATAATAGTAGATGGTGCGAACAACTCTGTTCATGCTCTTTCTTTCTAGCATATTGATGGAGATCCTGTAGGAGTTGGTTAAATATTGTATATTGATTTTGGCAGTTATCTATTTATCCTGGATATTGGTTAATAATCATCTTTTAGAGGTAAAGTTATGTTAGGACTTCGGAGTCTTAAATTTAGTGATTGGTTTCCCTATAAAAAGGGATTGAATTAAGGAGTTTTTAGTGGAGACTTTGATTAATTACTGTCCCTTCTTAATTCTTCCTCTTTCTTTTGATTCTTTTCTTCATCTTCTTTCTTCTCCCAATTCCTTTCTTCCAATCAACATCAATTGGTATCAGAGCTATTAGATCTACATCACACACATTCATGCTTTAATTGCTATTAATCAAATGTTATGGAAGGGTATCAAGCCAAAAATTTCAAGAGCAAATTCCAGCAGAAGAGATGTAAAGGAATGACCAGGTTGCTAAAATAAATGCTCTCTTTTAGATATTTACCTTCATTTGAATTGTGAGTACCTGTGCATAAGCAAATACTTTGCTCTACCCAAGGAAGCTCAATCTCTGGTTTCAGTGGGTCACACCATACACTCTTGGCTCCCATGATCATTTTAATACACGGGCACACCAGTTACTAGTAAGAAGATTTCATGGTATCACTCACAGGTAGTCCTTCAGTAAAACTATGAAGCACCACCATTAACAAAACACCACTAGCACCATTACCAATTACAATCACTGTCACCTATCCATCCCACTCCTCTACCGCCTTTCCAGAACTATGTAACCTCCAGAAGACAACCAGTATCATAACTTCCATGTCACTGCCAGTATTGCTGCTTCATCCAAAATGTCCCTGATCTGCTTCTTGCTTTGACAATCCTTAGAAACCATACCCAACCCGAAAAAAGAGGTTCATGGTCGTACTTCAATTAAGTTCTAACTCAATTCAAACAACTTGTGTGTTTCATGGTTTGAAATACCAATCCTCTTAAATGAAAATCTAGAGGCCAGCTACAATGATGCAAATGCAGCATACGATATCGTAGCCATTGCAATCACTTTCAAGGTTATGTTTCTTCCATAAGAAGAGGCAAACCACTAGGCTGCAACCACATAGAAGGCCAAAGTACTGTGAACCTTAGTCTGGAATCTTGTATTTCAGTCTTTGGTAGACAATCAACAAGCTCAAGAAAAATCAGCAAGTAAATAGTCTCAGGAAGACTTCATAAGATACAGATGTTTGTATCTTCTCGTTGTATTCATGTGAGGTTTCACAACATGTAATATCACAATTACAGGCCTGTCAATATTCCCTAGAGCCAAGGATCAAAATTTCATTTCGGTGCATTGTTTCGGTCACCTAGGAAATAGAAACGTTTCGACGTGCTTTAGAAACTTTTTGTCCCGTTTCGGAAACAAAATGAAAAAAATAAAAATTTAAGAATTATTTTTCCAAAACATTAGTCAAAATATACTAAAGTATCTTGAAATATCTCGAAACATTCCAAAATTATTGTGCAAATGCATTGAAACATTATAAAATATCTTGAAATATTATGAAACACCTCGATGTATTAGAATTTCGATTTCATCACTGATTCATTTTGGTCTCCTTCGAAACGAAAATATTTATGATGTTTTAACCGTTTCGAAACGAAATTTGATCCTTGCTTAGAGCTGTCTTATGCATTTTATCACAAGAAAACAAATGTAATGAACCAAGAGTACTTTTGCAGCAAGAAAAGGACTTACCAACAGTTGCCATAGTGGCAATGGCAAAATATAGCGATGTTGTGTATCGCTTCCAGATATCAATCTTTCTAAAGTGTGAATAACTAAAATCACCCAATTTTAAACTCCCAATCCATGTGTATCCTTCTTGCTCAGGAGGCAGAGTGGTGGCTAAGTAATAAAAGATGCAGGCTGCCGTATGCGTACAATAGAGTTCAACCGCGAGGAGTTTCACAATTCTAGTAAAGAGATAATTGATCCGTATGTCCTTTTCCATTTTATTCAAAAAACCAGTAACTTTTCTCACCCGACTCAGCCTAATCCATAGAAGGTATCTCAGTTCTTCTTTTTCTCCACAAGCCTGATTAAAAAAATCCAGTTAGAATGATGATCTTATGAAGTATTCAGTGTATGCTAGAGATCAGATAATTCAAAACTTACAGACATAATGGTAAGTACAGAAAACTTATCCCATTATGGTGCTGGTCTCAGCTAAAAATAGGATTCTTCTTATATACACAAATATAAAAGTGATAGGACAGTCACATGAATAATCTTGCCACTTCTTAAGATACACATCCCAACCAACCCCTATGAGAGAATAAGAAAGAAAAAAGAAAAAGAGTAATAATAAGGAAAGTAATTATGAACAGGCTGATGTCAGTTTGTTGGCCCCTATACGAAAAAAGGATAGGCGGAGCCAGGATTTTAACTAAGGATGGACCAAATTATGAATAAAGTAATATACCTTATAAATGCAAGCATAAGAAATATATTGAGAATAAAAACTAAATACCTACAAGAAACCTAAATCTAGCATCATTTGCCTTCACAGGATATGAACAAAATAAAAAGGCACAAAATCCTTGCGCCTTGGTGTGTTGCAACTCAATTGCCTCTTCAAAATGGAGTTCACCATTCTTTCAAATTCCGCAAATCGTCTCTAATTGACTCTCCGTTAAATTTGTACACCCCCATATATTTATTATAATAAATATTGTGTACCATGTGTTGAATGAATATAAGGTGGTGTAAGAATAAAAAAATATGGTGTACTAGAGATGTTTTTGCTTGTTGGGAAACATTTGGGCTATAGTTTGCAGATGATAGCAAGATGCTTCCTTAGTGTCTTATACGTAACTTTTTATTTTACTTGGATTGATCTGTATTTTTGACAGCAGAAACTAGATACCAAGAACTATAAAAGTGTATCTCATCAAAATTTGGTAAATCGACTTCTAGGTAGGTCAAAGCTGGACTAGAAGCTGAAGCCGGGAACTGGGTTCACATTCGGATGCAAGTCATGTTCGAACGCCAGTTAGTCACAGTACTTTTGTGTCTGACAGAAAGTCTAACAAAAGTCGAGATACTGGGAGCTCGTGACGTCCGAACGTCGGGTCACGTTCGAAGTTACATTCGAATGCCAACCGCACGTTTGAACGTCAATATAATTTTAATAGCGATTAAACTCGTGATTCCTGTTTAGATGGTGACCCTATAAATATCGAAGGATGACTCCTTAGCCATATTTATCAGTTTAGAACCCTAGAAAACCTTTGAGAGTGAGAGAAAAAGGAGAGAAAACAAGATTTGGAGGAATTTCCGAGTAAGAGACATGTTGAACACGCTAGGGTTTTGCATCAAACAACGGATTAAGGTAGGGGTGATAGAGATCGAAAAGGGATTGGATGAGCTTAAATTTAAGAATTGAATTTTATTATTTTTTTTAGTATTATTTTATTAGTTAAGAAATATTTGTTTGACTATGAATGTTAACTAAAGTTTGATTAGGAAATTATTATATAGTTTTAGAAGTATAAAAGTTTGAGAGTTTGATTATGAAACTCTTTTAGTACTTTATTAGGAGAGTAGTTTTTATTTTGGTAGGGGACTTGTCCTATAAATATCTATGTAATCCCCACTATTTTTATTAGAGAGTGATACATTAAAAGTGTTTCTCCGTGGAGAATTTTATGTGTTTCTAAACCGATTTCTTACGAGGATAAGGTAAACCTCTTCCACCCCTTCTTCTTTCTTCCTCTCTTTCTATTCTCTCTAGCCCATCCCGTCTTACATTAATTTGTTATCAGAGCTCAACTTCGATCATTCTCAATTGTCATTGTGTTTATTGAGATTCGTCTGTCATACTCAAGTTTCAGTCCCTTGTTGTTATTGCCGATTGAGAAGATTAAGTGAAAGTCCCGATCGTTGAGTTGCTAGCATGTTGCATTGTTACAATTGTTGTTGGAGAGCTATTCACTGCGCAAACAGTCCTGCAAGAATCCCACCGTCTAACCCAATCTTTGAAATTACACAAACAGCCCCAAAGTTCAAAATTACAGTTTGTCCCCAAAAATTTTTGAAATTATAGTTTGGTCCCTAAAGTTTTAGAAATTATGATTTAGCACCAAAATTTCTGAAATTACTGATTGACATCAGAATTTTCAAAAAAAAAATTCTTAAAACTCTCTTCCAATTAATATAGTTCTCAACCCTGAGTTAAATGCTAAAGTGGAGGCTTTATCCCAAGCACATCATAATTCACAAAAAGTCATGAATGCCAGACTATATACAATTCAAGCATCCATCAATTCACTGAAAGAACTTATACTCGCTACAGTTTGTGAAACCAAAACAAGTGAAGATTTCAACTTTGTCTCTTCAACTGTCAATCAAAAAGTGATTGAACACGACCCTCCAGTTATACCACAAGTTCTACCACCACAAATTCCACCACTATAAGTTTCAATCCGATTGAAGGGCGATAAACTAAAGTTATTCAATGTTGATGAGCCCAAAAGTTCTACTTCTACTCATCCTACAACAATTGTTTTTGATAAGCCGATTACAAAGGGTATTCATACATAAGAAGTTAACAAGTTTCAAGCGTGATTTTTTTTAGATGGGGTTGCTACTTTTTTGTCAACATCATCACCATCGTTTTATCTGGAATAAAGTGTGAAGATTATGAAGATTTGAGATATAGATTCTTTCCATTGTGATATCTTATATTATGTCATTGAAGGGAGATCTTACTTCTAAGCTATTAGGTTTGAAAATGTGTTTCACCGTCTGATGTCAATTCTCTTGGAGTATTCTTGCTACAACAACTCTTTAGAGAAGAGTTTTTTTTTGGCCAGGGAGACTTGATAGAGATCGAAAAAAGATTAAATGAGCTTAAATTTAAGAATTGAATTTTATTATTTATTTTAGTATTATTTTATTAATTAGGAAATATTTGTTTGACTATGAGTATTAATTAAACTTTTATTAAAAAAAATATTATAGAGTTTTAGTAGTATAGGAGTTTGAGAGTTTGTTTATGAACTCTATTAGTATTTTAGTAGGAGAGTAATTTTTATTTTGGTCGAGGACTTGTCTTATAAATATCGATGTAATCCTCACTATTTTTATTAGAGAGTGATATAATAAAAAGTGTTTTTCTGTGGAGAATTTAGTGTGTTTCTTAACCGATTCTTGCGAAAATAAGGTAAACCCCTTCTTTCTTCTTCTCATTCCATTCTCTAATTCTAGTCCTTCCCGTCCTACATCCTAGGATGATTATATATGTATGTTTTGACTCTAAATCATAGATATATGATAGATAATCATTGAATCGTGTTTTCTTACAAGTTATGTAATGTTTTTGAATGAGGTCTATGTTTTATATTCATGAAACTATCATTTTTGTTATCAAAACTCTAGACCTCGAGAAGTATAGGTTTTATACATGATGTTCTCTTGTTCTTGATTTGAAAACTCTAGTCTTTGGATTTGAACAATAAAATTATGTTTCTTGATGATCTCTTGCATGTTTCTTGAATCGTTCGTTCGGAACACACTAGTAAAATTATGGTACTTGAACTACACGTGTTTTTGAGGAATTGATTTACAATATTATTTTGAGGAATTGATTTACAATATTATTATCTCTTGTATGGGCGGTTTGATGCATATGGGTGACCGTCTTTATAGCACGGATACTTTCAAGAAAGTGACGTATCCGTGTCGAACACCAATACTCCTCGGACACATGTCTATTACTCTTTTATCCGTATCCATAATTAAATAAAAATATTTTAATTCGAATACATGTTCAACACTTCTTTAGACACAATAAACATGTGTTGAAATGTGATTACTAAAGCTCAAAATTTGACTAATAAGTATCTTATACTATGAAAGAACATATAATTACCAAAGCTAAACATGTTAAAGTTGTTTAGCAAATGAGTTTAAAGAAGTGCATAAACCACAAGATATACACCTGTTAGGCATAAGTAGAACAACATTTGGAAGACACAATGATCAAAATTTCGTTTCGGTGCATTTTTTCGGTCACCCAAGAAAAGGAAAATGTTTCGACTCGTTTCAAAAACATTTCAACTAGTTTCGAAAATAGAATGGAAAAAATAAGAAATTTAAGAATCATTTTTTCAAAACATTGGTTGAAATATATCAAAATATCTTAAAATATTCTGAAATAATTGTATAAATACATTGAAATATAACAAAACATTTCGAAAAATTATGGAACACCTTTAAGTATTAGAATTTTGATTTCATCACTGATTCGTTTTGGTCTCCTTGAAAACAAAAATGTTTCGGTCTTCTTGGAAACAAAAACGTTTCGGATATTTTGACCGTTGCAAAACGATATTTTAATACTTGGAAGACACTTAGAAAATGAGTTTAAAGACACTTGGAAGGCATGGTTCACATGGTAAATAACAAGCATTCCCATTAATACTCTATGCAAAACAATTCTAGCAGTCGAATTCATATCATAACTCCGCCATCATGAAAAAATAGTAATTTTGCAAAAAATAAAAAAATAAAAATGATTACCTTATAGATAGCATCCCAAGGCATACAGCCGAGAAAATCAAAGATGAAGTGAGACTTCAAGTACCTGAATAGCAAAAAACATGAAAGGGATTAAAGTCAATAGTATAGATAGAAATTGAACAAAAAGGGGAAGAAAGAAACTAACCGAAGAGCAATTGGGGTGCGCTTGTAGACCATTTTATAGGTCTGACGATCTCTGTAGGCGATGAAGAATTGCAGGACAATGTCAAAAAGAAAAGCTACTTGACCAGCTATGTCCAAAAAGAAGAGGTTCTTGGGCAATCCCCTGAAGAACCCAAACTCAAAGGGGGTGAAGAAAGATGAGTATAGAGCCCATATGAGTATGAATTTCTCCCATGCCCGGTACCACCTGTATTCGGAATAGTTTATATGGATATTTTTACAGACAATAAACAACTGTATTTCAAAGCTAGAGACAGAGAAGGAAAGAGAGAGTGGCACAACTTTTGGCGCGAAGACTTTAGGCGAGAGCCGTGAGCGGTTAAAACCGTTGTCTGCCCTCCTTTTGCCTTTCCCTGCTGTTATTAGCTCACGTTGGCATACTCGGAAAGCCCCCCAAGGTTTTTCCTTTTTGGTTGTTTGGTTTAAGTAAGCCACCAAGTTTATTGTGTTTTTTTTTTAATTGAGTTAAGATCAAGGTTAAGTTACTAATAAATAAAGGGAAATTCCATTTGAAAGATACAAACATTTTTAGTTTGTTCTCGAATGATTAATTTTTGTCACATTGCTCCTTTAAATAAATAAAAATATTATAATATAGTTTATCGTCTTATTTTCGTTTGGTTGTCCATTTATTTTGTGTCAAATTAACTAATTAAGAATCACAAAACAGACGGATGACCAAACGAAAATAAAACTGTAGACCACATTGTAACGTTTTTTATTCTTTGAGGGGCCAATGTGAAAAAATTAATTATTTGAGGGTAAATTGAAAATTTTTACATCTTTCAATGGACAAAATGAGATTTTTCCATTAATAAAAATTGAGTCATGATTCAAAAATATTAAAATCAATCTAATAATCATAAAAGTACCATGAAATTTTTGAATTCCTCATCTATACTTAAACAAAATTATATAGACAATTATACGTCACACTAATAATTGCATTTAAAACTTTTAAGTTTCTATTCTGTCCTTAAATAAATATATAAATACTTATGACTTAAATCATAAAAATTTGACCTTGTGCACACCCTTAAAGAAACCTACAAATTCAATGATTACCAAGATACAATTCATAAAAGTCACTAGAAAAAAAAAAATTCTAATTTTATCCCAACAAAATTCAATAAAGTACATATTATAATTTTGTAACTGTGATTTAACAATAATATAAAATCTATATTATCCTTGATCCAAATATTACTCTAATTGATTTCTCTCTTTTTTTTTTTTTATGGATTCATAATATAAAACTATATTTTTTCGTTGGTCTAATTTGTATTCTAACTTATCTAACTTGTAAACCTTATAAATTCTAGAAATAGTGCAAACAAGTTTAAAGAGTTCGTGAGAGTAAATATCAAGTTATAACAATAACTTATGAAATTTATACGGAGTTAAACCCCTTTAAAATTTGATTTTTGAACTTTCTATTAGTTACTAATATCTTATATTTTTAGATAAATCTAAAATTAAATTTCTTTAACTAGAGATAAGTTAGTCCTTGGGAATTCCCAAAATGTTAATCCCTCAATATAAATGTTACAAAAGAAACAAGTATTTGTAGTTGAAACATGTACATCTTCTATCTATTGGTTTGTATGGAACTTAAAGCTGCAGCTTGCTCTTGATCTATATTTGAAGGCATGTTATGATGATTTACTTGATTATCCTATTATATTGTGTTCTATTATAAAATTACAATATTTTTTGTGGTGATTTTATCAAACTTCTATTTTGCAAAGTTTGTATCACCGTGATTTATGCAACCAATGATTATGGACTCTTAGCAAGCATAATAGATTTACTACACAAAAGCATATAGTCTCAATCAGCTTTCCAGTATTCATAGGGTGATCAATCAATCTTGAAGTAATTAATTTAGCATGTAGTCTAACTTCTTATTGTGGTTGAAACACATAATAACATATTTAGACAACAAGTATCAAAGGGCATATACTTTGATTCATAGGTATATATTAAATTATTTCAGCATAATGATAAAAAAATAACATCACCACTATAAATTAAACTTGTCCACGTGCAACACACATATGTACCAATGTGTCAAGTGATAATTTCACATTAAAAAATATTATTGATATGTATTCATATAATAGGAGTATGCATTGGTAAATCAAGATTATAGGTTTAGCACAATACATCTATATAAAAGAACAAAAAATTTACAGATAATTAAAGAAAAATTTGAAAGATGACATAAGAGAATTCTTAAAAATGACGACATAAAAAACTAAATCTGACATTTGGAAAGAATTGATTACTTGACCACTCTTAGCTGATTTAGTCTTAAGAGATCGAAGGATTATCAATTAGACTAGACCAAATTAATTGGATCATTTATTATCTTTCTACTTCAAAAGAGGAGATTGTTGGTAGGTATGTGTAGGTATGTGACCAATATATTTTACCATATTTACAATTAAACTATAAAATAAGACCCATAAATTATAAAAACACATTTTGAAGCAATTTTTAATAATATTCAAGTTCTAAATAAATTAACTTATATACCAATATGATAAGTATAAAAATAAAATTATTGTCAAAAATAATTTACATGCAACGCACGTGTTCAATATCTATTACTATCAAAAAGTTAACTGGTGCTAAATCAATGTTGCTTGATACTTAAGTCTCATTTCTATTTCTTAGCTATAAATAGCAAAGAATTGTTTAAAATTCATAAGAAATCAATTCATCAACAATTTTTTGACTAACTAGAAAAAACTTTACAAATTAACAGTGTAAAATATAAAATGTAAAATATAGATTCAAATCCTCTATGATATATTTTTTTATAATGATAAATTATCTATCATGTATTGAAATAAAATTTGGTGGGTTTTATTCGTTATGAAGATCTATAATGAAAATGACCAAAAAAAAAAAAAATCTATAATGAAAGTGACTAAAATTAATTATTAGATTTACTTGTATGTGGCTGCCAATGGTACATCCTGTAGGCCCCAGAAAACAACAGCTTCATTCATTCATTTGGTTGCTGTATTAAAAATAGATGAATTTGATAAAATAATTCAGTCTAATATAATATAGAAGGACAAAAAATAAGATTAAATAAGGTATTAAAATAATATGTAATTTTATCTAATATTTTACAATACACAATATAAACGTTGAATAATAGTTATTTAATCCAATTAGTTGTTAGGTTAAGAAATTATTTTATAATATTAATGTTGAATTAACAAAATACCTTCAATGAGTGTTTGTTACATTGATAACAACTTGATTTTGTCAATTGAGATGTTATAATAATAAATGTATAGAATAATACGTTTGAGTTGAATCATAATATTATCTCTCCTGATATACGTTTTTGAAATTAATACGGTATCAAATTTGTTTACCAAATAACATATTAGACCCGATTAAATAAAAAATAGTACAATTCAATATTTAATTCCTCGTAATTTGCCAAAGCAGCCTACAGTCTTAGGCGATTTGGCTGCAATACAAACAACTGTATGAGTACGACCATAACACTAGCTTTTGTCTTTCCTTTTTTTGCCAATATATATATATATATATATAGACATGTACTATAGCAGTATTTTAATATTCTTAAAAGAAGTGGTATTATAATCTAATTCAAACGTATTATTCTACATATTTACTATTAATCTTCCAACTGATAAAATTAAGTTTTCATAAATATAACAACATTGATAGAGCATATTTTTATTAATTTAACATTAATATGATAAAAAAATTCCTTAACTAAACAACTGATTAAATTAAATAACTACTATCTAACGTTTATATTGTGTAAGGCCAAACACTTGATAAAATAACTTATTATTTTAATATTTTATTTAATCTTATCTTTTGTCCATTTGTATTGTATTAAATTGAATTACTTTATCTACTTCGTTCATTTATAAATTGACAATCAAACAAGTCCTCAAAGTCCTACTAAATTTTTTTTTGAATTTTTTTATTTTTGTGCTCTCGCAACTGCGCTATCTCTACGTGGTCTAGGAGGTAACTTGAGCTGAGACTAGCTTTGAATTCAAAATTCTGGATAACGTAATGTTGAATCCCATTCACCACAACTGGCGAATCCTTGGCCGTTCGATTTTTAAAAATCAAGTCAAAATCAGTGATGCCAAGTATTAGACACATCCACATGTCGGGTAGGCCCCGTCCACTCCTTATGTGCCACGTGCCAATCCTTGGCGGGAATTGTCTCTGCTATCTCCTCCGCAAACACATCCGCCGTGATCTTCGGAGAGAGAGTGAAAGATGTCGTCCTTAGCAGGAAAACTTGGGATTTGGGATATAGATTTAGAGAGAGAAACTCTATATAGAGAGACAGAGACAGAGATAAGATTGAACCTGTTATCAGGATGAATGGCGAGACCTTGCGAGAGGTCTCGGAGACCATTAAGGACGCTTTCTCGGCTGTATCTCCTTCGATTCGAATCGAGTCCCAACTCGTTCGCTATCAAATCGAATCGACTTCCTCTCGAAGATTTAATCCCATCTCTCAAATCCTCAACCTCATACTCTCCTTCATCTTCCAACCCATTTGTCTCCTCCTTTCTTCCATTCATCATCGCCGTCGCCGACAATCAAGCCTGCCGAGGCAACCCACACGGTTGCCTCGAATTTTCCAACGAAAACCCCGCTCTCGGACTCGTACCTCTCTGCATAAAACAACCACCACCCCAATGATGATTTATCGGAACAATTTGATTGTAATAGCATTAGTTTGTTCTAGAACTAAATTTAGAAAAAAAAAAAAAGAAGATAAATAAAAAACTGAGTTGAAAATCAAACTGACCGTGAAAATAGGAAGGATTGTAGCAAGATCACGAGCGTTTGCGTTTGAGATCTAGAGCACTAGAAATGACGGCTTCGTCTGGTTTGATGATTGAAGCATTCGTTCACGGAAAATCTGTTGAGTGAGAAAAAAGTTTAGGCAACGATACACCATACAAGGACAACGATTAGCCTATTTATAGCCATACAAAGTTTGGTCATTCTTTTTATGTGTGGATGTAAGTAAATTAAAATACTATTTATGATAAAAACTGTACATTATTCATTGGTTATCAACATACAATGGATCGCGTCGGCACAGTTTAGGGCACGAGGCAACCACTGAGATTTCTTTATTTTGATTAATTACGTGGTGCTTATTAGATTTATTTTTAGGTCTGGAGGGTAATAAGATGATAGGTGATTAAACTATGTTGATAAGTTATCTAGTAGAGTTTCTTTACTTGGGTAATATTATCCTGTGATAACTTATCAAAATGTTACAGGTCATATAACATAACGTAATGATTAAAGTATTACCATCCCATCAAATTAGAGGCTTAATCAAATCATTTTATGCTATGTTCATACCGTGTTATTTTTGTTTTATATCATATTCTGGCTACGTTGCATTTGTGTTTCTACTATCTCCCATGGAAGAATACGGTCAACCTGCAAAATCTTCTAGAAAAGGTTTTGCCACCTCCTTCCAAATTCAGATTTTCTACCCTCACACTTCCACCCTTTTTACCTTCTTATCACCTCCAATTTTTTTAATGTTCTGGTTGGTATAATAAAAAAATCGAAAGATAAAAAGTTTAAGAGATAAATAAAACATCATATTTGGTAAGAAAAAAAAATATGAATGATGAAAAAGTGGATGAATTAACTTTTCTTCTAACTCACCAAAATCAATCCCGATTAATTATTTGTGTTGAGATGTATCTTATTTATTTATATATTATGTATATATTAATTTCATATAAAAATACAATGATAAAAAATTCATCTTAAGTAGGGAAAAAAATTTTCAACTCAACACAATGACACGACTCGAACTCGACACAAATTTTATGGCACTAACTTGAAAATGACCTAACACGCAAACAAGAAATATAAAATGCTCATAATTTTACGAATTAACACGAATCTGACACGACAAGAGTCAATTGTTACCCCTAATCTTAGCCTACACAAAAAAATAAAAATAAAAATAAATAGTCATTTTCATTTTCATTTTCAATCCGTCCAACCAAACACAAAGGAAGAAAAGTGTATCATTCCTACTTTCCATCCTTGAATGATAGAAAATGTATCCCTCTTACTTTCCATTCTTCCTATTTTTTCATTATTCCTACCAAACGGAGCATAATGCTCCAATTGATATGAAGGATAGAAAGTATGAAAGATAAAAATTATGAAGGATACATTTTTTATCCTTTAAGGAAAATATAGTACCCGAAAAACTTCAAGACACGTGTCTACACTGTAGCAGGACAAGTGACAATAATTATTAGTTGACATGGAAATGAAACCCGATAGAGTACAGATGAACTAGTATAAATAACAATATCATGTGTGACAACTAAGGCACGACACTCATGCGCGACACATAAGGTGCGATGCCCCCTGGCCGCGGCGCTCTCAAGCACAACATCGCAACAGGGCGACATACATCCCCATCACATTGGAAATGAAAAAGTGGACCCTTCACTAAGGGTGGACAAAAGTGAAATCGTAGAAGTATGGGGCGACCTCGGCGAAACTTGTCTCCCCTACTATGGGAGTGGTATCTTCAACCTATTGGACACCAATGCTCGACTAGCCCATTGGATTAAAAGAAGACATCCCCACCTAGGGACATGGAAGTATGACCCTTCTCAAGGGAAAACTGAGTAATGGGATGAACGAACACGATTGTCAACCTCAACCTGGTGCAAGGTCTCAAAGGTTTAATTTGCTCAAGCAAGTCTCCCAATATATGGCTCATTGCCCGCTAGGATGTACTTAACTGGGACCCAGAAAGACTCCTAAGGTAATTGGGGTTATTGGTCCGGATCAGCATATGGGATGATGGGACATGTAGATTGGTGGCTGAAGGATTGAAATTATGTGGGTTTCCTCTATCGGGCACCTCGACAAAAATCTTGAGGAAGGGTCTAGAGAGGGAATAGTAGACCCCGGGTAGGAGGGCATTGGGAGCATCATGGGCATGGTCCCTCTCGAGGTCAGATCATCCACAGTGACCAGTTGCGGTCATAGACCTTGGGAGCCCTC